CAGCAGCTGGTGCTCCAGGATGCCACCCGGAAGTATGTCACCATTTCGACAACAATGGGACTCTTCCAGTACACGCGCCTATTGTTCGGCGTAGCCTCAGCCCCAGCCATCTTCCAGAGAGAGATGGACAACCTCTTCAGGGGCATGAGGCACGTGGCGGTGTACTTGGACGACATCCTGGTTACCGGTACCGACGACGGGGACCACCTGCAGAACCTGCGCAAAGTCCTGACACTACTACAGGACGCCGGTCTCAAGCTGAGGCTGGACAAGTGCGTGTTCCTGACCCCCAGCGTGGAGTACCTGGGACACATCATCTCCCAGGCTGGCCTGGCCCCGGCACCTCGCAAGATTGAGGCCGTGCTCAAGGCGCCGAAGCCCAAGAGCAAGAAGGAGCTTCAGAGCTACCTCGGCCTCATCAACTTCTACAGCAGGTTCCTGCCCAACCTTTCGACGCATCTGGAGCCGCTGCATCGACTGCTTCGTGACGGTCAGCAGTGGACCTGGAAGAAGGAGCAGGACTTGGCCTTCCAGCGCAGCAAGGAGCTGGTCGTTAAGGCTCCAGTGCTGGTGCACTTCGACCCGGCCAAGCCTGTGGTCCTCACCGTGGATGCGTCGCCGTACGGGGTAGGAGCCGTCCTGTCGCACCGGGGTCAGGATGGTCAGGAACGCCCTGTGGCGTTTGCTTCTCGTCGTCTCCATGCGGCAGAGCAACGCTACAGCCAGCTCGACAGGGAAGGCTTGGCCCTCATCTTCGGGGTCCAGCGCTTCCATCAGTACCTGTGGGGCCGGCAGTTCGAGGCAGTCACGGACCACAAGCCGCTGCTGGGGCTGCTGGGACCTGACAAGGCAGTCCCAGTGCAAGCATCGCCTCGTGTGGTACGCTGGGCCTTGACGCTGGCAGCCTACAGGTACAAGCTGGTCTACCGCCCTGGGAAGGACCTGGGACCTGCCGACGCCCTGAGCCGCCTGCCCCTGCCGGAGGTGCCTGCTGCCGTTCCAGAGCCAGCTGACGTGTTCCTGCTGGAGCGGGCCTACCCGGGGGTGGTCACCAGAACTGCGGTGGCGCAGGCGACCAGCCGGGACCCGGTCCTGTCTCAGGTGGTCAAGGCGGTTTCCCGAGGGGAGGAGCTGCGTCACCAGGCATACAGCCACAAGACCACCGAGCTGAGCTTGGAGCAAGGCTGCCTCCTGTGGGGTTCCAGGGTGGTGATTCCACAAAGTCTGTGGGCCAAGGTGCTGCAGTTGCTGCACGCGGGGCACCCTGGCATTGAAAAGACCAAGATGGTGGCACGGTTGCACGTTTGGTGGCCTGGCTTGGACCAGGACATCGTGCACCAGGTGCAAGGCTGCCAGGTCTGCCAGGAGAACCAGCGAGCCTCGCGCCACGTGGAAATCACCCCCTGGCCGTTCCCACAGAGGCCGTGGTCCCGCTTGCATGTGGACTATGCGGGACCCTTCAAGGGCCACTACTTCCTGGTGGTAGTGGACGCCTTCTCCAAGTGGGTGGAGGCACTGCCAGTCACCAGTCCCTCGGCGAGCGCGACCATTGCGGCGCTGCGGCAAGTCTTCGCGGCGCAGGGATTGCCGGACATTATCGTGTCTGACAATGGTCCCGCTTTCGCTAGCGCCGAGTACCTCGACTGGCTGCAGAGGAATGGAATCCGCCGGATGCTGGTTCCGCCGTACCACCCCGCTTCCAATGGTGCGGCCGAGCGAGTGGTCCAGACCATCAAGGACAAGCTCAAGAAGAGCCAGCCCGGGGATTTCCGAACGCAGGTGGCCCGGGTACTATTCCAGTACCGGACCACACCTCACGAGGTCACTGGCCGTGCCCCCTGCGAGCTTCTGCTGGGCCGGATGGTCAAGACCCCCCTGGACGTCTTGCATCCAGACCTCCGGTCCACAGCGCTCCTGAAGCAGCTGAAGCAGAAGCTGGCTGCTGACCGAGGGTGCCGTCCCGGGCCTTTGCCGGAGCCGGGAGCGTCGGTGTACGCCAGGAACTTTCGTCCTGGCCCACCCTGGTCTGCCGGGCGTGTGGTTTCACCAGCGAGCGCCTCATCGCTGCTCGTCTGCATGCCCGACGGGACCACCTGGCACCAGCACGCCGACCATGTCAGGCCTCGCCTAGGGACCTGGCTTCCACCCTCGGCCGTCGCTTCTGAGGACCAGCCTGCAGGGGGCCCAACAGCACCAGTCGTGGCCAGCGGAGCGCCACCCACCCCGGAGGCGACAAGCATCGCCACTCCCGTGGCACCAGTGCCACTCCCAAACCCGGTCCCTGCAGCTCCACCGGGTGGAGCGCGACCGGTTCAGGCAGCGCCCGGCGTTGCCACACCTGGCCCGTCGACACCTGTACCCAGGCGGAGTGCACGGCAGCGGAGGCCACCTGACCGCTACTCGCCGGGGTGACCTTCATCGTCGACAGGCCGGGACTTTGCACGACCAGACGCCGAGATGGTGTCGGCCGTGCGCATTGTGTTTAGTTTTGTTTAATAACAAACAAACTGGGGGGGAGGAGTGTGACAAGTTAGTGGCGCCCCCCTCCAGTCCGCCCGTCCGCGGCCGCCAGGCTCGGCGGGCAACATTGTTCACCTCGCCCAATAAACGCCGTAGAGCGCACGCCGCTCCGGGCCAGTCATCGTCCACCCTCACAACCAGGCTGCGTGTCGTCTCTCCTCGGCGGGTGCTTAGGCCCCTTCGTCCACGTTCCAGAAAGATCGTGACAGTCCCCATGCCTATGGCTGGTCGTGGGCGTGCCACAGTAATCATGCTCTATAAATTGCACACCTTTTTGAGGGCACTTTTGGCATGCCTTTTGCCGAAGAAAAAGCGCCCTATGAAGCTCACTCAGCGTGGAGAGCAACGCGACCGTTCTTAGGCCTAACCATTTTCACTCACTGTCTGAAAGTGGACCACAGACGATGGCGTGTTTGTTGACATCAATGCATCCATAGGCGAAGAATGTCTAGGGCTGGGCAATTCCTTGACCCAAGCTTCGTCAAGTGTGTGTACCGTTCGGTTTCATGGTTGATCACTTTTGCAACTACAGGGTGTCACGAAAAAAAATTGCTTGTCTTTTTTACCACAAAAATAAACTAGGCATCACCGAAAGCTCATTCTCCGCCCAAAGGTAGCGCTAGAGGTCACAACCAGATGCCAAAGTTTCAGCCCAATCCGATAGCTTACTCAGAAAGTTATAAATGATTTTATGAAACTTTCAATGGGAAAATGACAGTTGACGGAGTTTTCAAATACATGGGGCTCTATGGCACCAGAAACTGAAAACAGGCAAAAATGGGCTCCATTTTCCACTGAAATTTTCACAAAATCACTTATAACTTTTGAATAAGGTATCGGATCGGGCTGAAACTTTGGCATCCGGTTGTGCGCTACCTTTGGGTGGAGAATGAGCATTCGGCGATGCCTAGTTTATTTTTGCGGTGAAAAAAACCTTGTAATTTTTTTTTTGTGACACCCTGTATACACTTGCAGCTGCTTGCAGCCATTATGAAAGCGGCTTCGCTCGGCTTGACTTGGCTTGACCGCTTGGCAGCAAAAGAAAACTGACTTGGTGGCAAGCTAAATTGGACATAATTCGAGGCTCGCGGAGCTAGAAATTGGAAGTACATTCATTACCTGAGGGAAAAAAAACATCCAAATATTGTATCCGTTTTGGGGGGTGCATTCATTATGCGAGTGCGTTCATTATGTGAGTAAATACGGTAGTAGGCGGTACTGCGTGGATTCACTAGTGATAAGATCTGAAGAAAAAACATTCGGGCCTTGTGTTCTACAGAATTTCCCAAAAAGAGCCCTCATGCCGGCGCCATTTTATGATTCTCGCGACCCCTTCGGCCAGAAAGTTCCGCCACCCTTCTGGGCTGTGGAAACCCTGTCAGTGCGAATCTCCACCAATACTGTATGTTTAGAGTTTGCCGCCCTTTCTCAAAAGATTTTACTTCGTTCGCCTATTCATTATGCTTATCTTTTTTGCGTTACCTTCCACCGTGAGAGTAGGGGAACACTGGGGCTCGTAGCCTGCTCGGGCTTTGCGGAAAACAAACGAAAAAGACTAACGTCAAAAGGCCCGTGACCCGGGCCATTCGACGTCCTTCGAAGAATATCTCTGCCGAGATAACCTCTGGAAAGCCTTCGTGGTCTCGCCGAAAAATAACTCGTCGAGTGCCGGGTAGGGGACGGTTCAGATGCATTCGTTTCTTCGCTTCGGTGCCTTGCAAAAGACAAGCTTTTTTCGAGACGCGCCCTAACGAGTCGGATTCCATCCAATCGTCGTAAAGCGACTGTCGTTGACACGGTAGCTTGGATATGCTGCGTTATTTGAGATCTTTCTCAAATACACTTTGTTCGGATGACGCGCCACCGTGGGGTACATACAGTGTGTTGTTCAGTCAATGAGAATCGCTGAATTTCATGTTGTAACGGGGAATACCTGTGCTTTTCGGCGATCTCGCGTGACGAATTATTTTCAACAGTTAAGAGCTTTGTAGATTGGCACTGCCGAGATTTGGCGGCGTAAAAAATGTGCGTAAATTAAAACAAACATTCCAGTTGCATTGGTTCTGTTGCGCGCGGACTCACTAAAAATAGCGTTTACATGTTTGTATTTATTCCAAAGATGGTAGAATGCTTTCTCAAAGGTCCCGAGAACTTCCTTTTGCCACAAAAAACAACAACGATAAAACGCAGCAATTTAGTTGCAACCAGTGTAAGGAATTGCCCCCACGCAGGCTGCCACAGCACACCGACGAGAAGGCCCACAGCCCAGTGCACTCGAGCAACACTGGCGTCCCGAGACCAGGGATGCGTGCTCTAAACCGCCTGGTTCGAGACTGCCGCTAGAAAAGTCTACAGTCACTGAAAAGGTGAGAATGGCAGGCGGGAACATCAGTTGTTCTACCCTCAGCTTCCCACCTTCGACAATTGTTCTCACGCTGTCAGCGACCATGGGGGTATATACTGAGCAAGCCAGGACGTACCGTCCTTCCAGTCGTCCATGGAGCGCAGGTAGGTCAGGGCGTCCTTGTCGTCCTCTTCCAGCAGTTTCTCCTTCTGAGTGTCCTCCTCCTCCAGCTCCCTCGACGCCTTCTCAGGGTCGGCAGCCCAGTCCTGCAGGCTCCAGCTGCGCACGCGTCCACCTTCGTTTACGTTTCCTTCCTCGTTGCACATCTCTGTGCAACTTCGAGGAGTTCCGAGTTCAGCATTGTCCCGGCCTTCCTCCGCGTTCATGCAAGAATTGCGCTGTTACTGCAAGCGGAGAAACACTAGGGTAGCGAAAGCTCACTCTGCAAAACCCGGTGTTCAATCCCCAACCCCGTCCACTTCAATCTAGGCTACCATTGTACTGATGTGCAGATGTATAATACTGCTGCGCAATTCACGTTGGAAGATTATAGGTTAGCAGTCGTATACAGCACTGGAGAAATTTCTCACCTACGTCTGAGGCACCAGATGCCCATTGAGGCCAACTTACCTCCTGCCGTCAAAACAAATACACAACGCAATTACCCTTTGCTGTGAACGGGAAGAGGGAAGAAGAATGTTCAGAGATTTCCTCACAGAGGTTCCTGGAGACCTTAGGAGCCTGATACTACTACTATGAAGAAAACAAATATGACTGTTCTAACTACTACGACAACTGCAGCATGAGCAATCTAAACTGCATCGTTGGGAACCTTTGCTTGACGCTTCCTACCTCTACGCAGGAGGCTCACCCCAATAGAAGAGCCCTGCGATAATAACAGTTTGATCATCCGCAACAGATCCGCATCCGCATAGGTACTTTGTATTCGCATCCGAACCGCATCTGTTAAATCTGGAAACACATTTGACCTGCAATCCCCATTAGAAGAGCCCTGCCCTCATAACAGTTTGATAATCCGCACCAGATCTGCATCCATACTTTGTATTCGCATCCGAACCGCATCTGTTAAATCTGGAAACACATTTGACCTGCAATCCCCATTAGAAGAGCCCTGCGCTGATAACAGTTTGATAATCCGCACCAGATCCGCATCCATACTTTGTATTCGCATCCGAACCGCATCTGTTAAATCTGGAAACACATTTGACCTGCAATCCCCATTAGAAGAGCCTGCGCTGATAACAGTTTGATAATCCGCACCAGATCCGCATCCGTACTTTGTATTCACATCCGAACTGCATCTGTTAAATCTGGAAACACATTTGGCCTGCAATTTTGGGCATTCATTGCACATCACAAAATCAAACGAGAATGAAAAAAACAACTACATCTGGATGGTACCTCACAAGCCGTTTGCTAATTTTCGCACAAAGAACTCTTCAAGTCGGAATACGGGGAAAGTACCGTATTTGCACAAATATAACGCGAGTATTTTTTCAAAATTACTTGCTCCGAAACACACCTCGCGTTATATTCGGAATCGAGTTCAGCCACAAGGCGTGCGAGTCTGGAGAAAGCCAGGGGAGAAAGCCATCCCTCAGGCTCAATGAAAAATATCCGGTGGGAAAAGAAATGGGGGTGTGGAAGGGAATTTATTAGCTGTTGGGCCACGTGAAGGGGCGAATAGAAAATATAAAAAAGCATTTTTATCGCTTCTGTGTTTGTACAACACGCGCACGCCGCAGAAACTCAGCGCGCGCGCGTGCCATGCAGGAATGCGGGCACTGGCCAATTCGAGACAAGCCAAGCTAAGACCACCAACCGCGTTTACGCAGTTTAGGCAATCGTGCAACACGGGGCATTTGTTTATGCAGAGGGACCAGAATAAGAAGTGTGATCGTGTACCGGATTCAGCAGTCTTTTTTTCTGCCTGCACATTGTTTAGTTTCTGCTCCAGGGTGATCTGGTGTTGGTGCTTCTGCTTCGTGCCTCGTTTGGATTGTGGGCTGCCGAGGAGCTCACACAGAAGAAAACGGAACTACCACTTATCTGCATCGTCGCCAAGTGGATTGGAAACGGAAGGACCTGAGCAGTGAGGATGAGTGCAGTCAAAACATAAACTGAGATTTCTTCTATTTCCATTGACTTTTCACATCTGCTATGCCCTTGAGTGCAAGAAATTGACACGTCCTCGATTCGCATTATAATAGTAATAATTTTTCTTTCCCTTTTGAGGGCATCAAAACCCGCCCTCGCGTTATATTCGTGGTCGCGTTACGTTCGTGCAAATACGGTAATTTCATTGCTTTCTGTTTTATGATATTTATATTGTAAGCAATCATCCTTCCAGAGACACTTTGCGTCACTGGAAAGATGACCGCAGTTATGAGATCGTCCTGGGAGTCTGCAACACACTGCCCAAAAAATGGACTAAAAAAAACTTTTAATTTTTTTTTGTTATTTTAGCACTTCAGCAGACACAAATTTTCTACACTTGAAAACTTACAAAGAACATACTAGTAATATTGTTTCATTTTATTTAGGTCAAACAATAGAAAAGTGGGAGAGGGAATGCGGTTACGCAGTGCAGCGAAGCCCTCGTAAATATGTATGTGGCAAGACGAAAGTACACCGCTAGGAAAATATTGCACTACACATATTCAATAATGGCAGCACCTCCTATTGGTTTCAGTTATAAATGCGAATCCGCAACTGCATGCTCTGAACCACGCAGCCAGTTGCCAAACATGGAGAAAAAGAAAATACACACGCCACACAGGGAAGGAGGCTTCTACTTTCTTGTGATTTGTACGTTTTGGGTTTTCTGTGCCCCAAGGAACGTTTTCCACTCTTTACCTGCCAAACAAGAACACACTTTCCCGGGACAGTTGACGCCCCTGCAGTTTTGACTTTTTCTGGGAACACCCCACCCCCATTTGCAGCTAGAAAAAACACCCTAAAGGGACCTTTGGTGCGAATCGAGCATTTCTCAAATTTCAAGCGATTTTCAAAACAAATTCCTTCCCAAGTGGCACCTTTTTTTTTAAGAGAGCGATTTGCTCCCACAAAATGTTCAATGATGCACTTCATAGTATGACTCACTCATTCGCTCTACACACTGCAGTCGCACGCATTTACGAGCCGCCTCGGCAAAACACAGATCCGGACCCGCAGGTATCCGAGTCTGACCTGCATCCGCAGCCCCCGACATCTGCATCCGATCCGAAATCTGCCAAATCTGATTAATTCTTGTCCAGATCCACCAGCTGACTGCGGATATCGATGATCTACGTGTGATTCACAGATGTGCAGCCCTAACGGGCTCTACCCGTTAGGACTGCTCGAATAAGACGGAGCTGTACAATGTGGGGTGAGCTGGGAGCCAACAGCCCTGTCTTTACAAACGAGGTGCATAAGGTTGTACTTCAAACAGTCTTGTAGACATTACTAGAAAAAAATTGATTACAATTACAATTACCCTCAATTAAAAAGTATTCAACTACATTACTTGATTACCTGAGAGAAAAAGTAATCGGCCGATACTTAAAAAGGCAAACTTTACCTCTCCGATTACTTCAGATTTCTGAAACGGCAGATTTTTCTGCCAATTCGAAAATGAGCCTTTCGCGCTGTCTCTGATTGGATTATGATCACCGGATGAAAAACTACTCATCTTAATCCGCTACTTTGGTAGACCATCCCAACGTCAGAGGATTTGTTAAAGAACTCTTTGGCACAAAACTTGTGGACATAAAACCGCCATAAGAAAGGGGAGGGGAAACACTCTTTTGTATGAACCTGGAGGGTGAAAGAGGAGCCACTATGGACAAAAAAGCTATATTTAGGGAGCTCAATTTACTGTCGAGACCGGTTATAACGAAATAGCGCTACAGCAAAGTGACAACAATTTCCCATTCCCATTTCAGTGATGTGATTGGCCAAAGCCATTTTGGAGCACCTTTTGGAGCAGCCAAAACAGTGTTTTGGAGCAGCAAATGTGGCCTTTGGAGCAACCAAAACAGTGTTTTGAAGCAGCAAAAGTTTTTTTTTTTTTTTTTGAGCAGCCAAGACAGTGTTTTGGAGCAGCAAAAGTGGCTTTTAGAGCAGATATTGTTAGAATAATAAAAATATTCGTTTGAAGTGCTGTACAAACGAAGGGCACTTTGTGTTGTGTTTTGACGTGACGTGTTGTGACGGAACTGGCTGCTTTTTTACTGCTGAGAGATCCCAGAAGTGTACAGTGCTGTAGTCATTGCCTAGGAATTCCGAAAAACCGCTTGCCACCGTTTTACTGGTTCCCAACGTGTCAGATTTTCGTCAAAAGTAAGCAAACGTAAAACAATGGATTGCAAGCGTCCCGGCTGGTGCTTCTTTTGTGTAACCATGTTCGCATGCACGTAAGGGCAACTTCGGCAGGCTTGCAGTTGCGCGTGCGTCGTCCCGCAAGCGACAATAGCTGTTCGATCAAAACCGAAACCATGCCACTCCGCTCCGTCGCCAACTGATTCCCAAAATTGTATGCAAAATATAACTGTGGAGCATACGAAAAAAAAAAAAAAAACAGTCCATCAGCACGCTTGCCAGGTCAGCAAACAAGGTACAAGTTAAAAACGCACGCACGCACGCACGCACGAACGAACGAACGAACGAACGAACGAACGAACGAACCAGAGCGCATCGATACAAGACATAGCGAGCCAGGGTCAGGAAGTTCTTCGAGCGCTATGAGCAACGACTGAACCCGGGACAAACAAGCGCGCTGTGTGGGTTCAGCGTGCAGACATTGCCTTCTTTGCTTTAGCTCACTTCTCTTCACCAACTTCCTTCTGAGGCAGATTTTTCACGTAACGGGGTCCCTCCAAAGAAAGCCCACCGAGAGAAACCTAGGTGATCAATAATTCTACACAGCTGTATTTGAGTTAGAGGGATTTGTATGATTTAAACAAGAACAAGAATGTTGATGAACATATGGCGACACTTCGTTTAATTTTAGAAAGCGACATATCTGCAGCTACGATGGCAACACCCGACGTCGCGGGACCACGGTGACTGAACCAAATATAGTTTTCCCACGCCCGGTGCTTTCAGGAGCGAGTGCTTCAGCTCGCAAAGTAACTCCCGCAGCGTAAAAATGTGGCTTCGTTTCACAGCACGACGGCATGGCTGGTACCCGGCACGATAGCGTTCGAGCGTCCGCACACACCCGCGTCTATCGTCCCAAATATATATATAAAATATGAGAGACGAGACCCACGAGACGACGAGAGCGTGAAACGCAAGACGGTGGGAAAACCATGCAAGACTGGATGCACAATTCATGCAGGGTACTTTGTGTCGGGCGGCCGCTTGCGCCACATAACACACGCATGGTCCATTTCGGTACTCAGTTTAGTTTCGGTTTTGAAAGGCGACCAGTCTTTTGGCGCAGGTTTGGCGCAGATTATCTATATTGTGGCAAAATGTAGCAGGATGTAGCAAGGTTAGCCCCTTGGCGCAGTTTGGCGCAATTGGCGCAGCAATCACATCACTGCATTTGCAACTTTTTAATGCATTTGTGTCTGTTTTGAGTGAAGGAAACTAAGCGGCTCCTGTAGATACAGCAAAAAAAAAATGCAATACCATAAAAAAAAAAATTGCAAAGTTTTAAAGTTTTTGGATTGCTGCACTTTGGTGCTGTAGCCAAGAAGCCACCCAGGACAGGCTGCAGAAGATGCTGGAAAGGCCGCCGGCGGCAGACTCTGCAATGTCGTCTGCTGCTCGCTCCTAATTCGGGAACCAGCTTTACCGCATCACTCGCGGAGAAGCCGTCGTGGCATGCCGATAGGGGTGTTTGAAACGCAAGAGACAACGTACCGGCCAAGGTGACGGAGACAGCCTAGATTTAAGGGACGGAGCAGTAAGTATGCCTGCATCTGATTGTTGCGTGTCCAGTGTAGCGAGGAAACTGGGCGGAGAGGCGGACATGTTTGCAAAAGCCGAATGCTTTTGAGTTTGGACTCCTTGTACGCAGCAGCTCGTTTTGCAAACACGGTCCACAAATCATGTGAGCCTGATCAAGCAGTTGCCCCATCTCTTAAATCTAGGCTCTCTATATCGACGACAGACAAGCTTGAGTGCGAATTTGGTGCCGTGTGCGCTTCTTTCTTTGCTTCGTGATCCGTGTCGGCGTGTTGTCGATGAGGTTGCTCTTGCGCGAAAGCCTACTTCGCTCCAGCCCCGATTCAGCGAATCATCGCCACTCAACGATGGAGTGTCCCGGCATTGCCGGCACCTCAACAGGTAAGACAAAGGCAATCTCCTTGAATCAAAAGCGTGCCATCCTCGACGAAGTGCGCATAAACGTAAAGAATGCCATCCACAGCCAGCGTCCTCCGCTGGGCCGTAACAGCTGTCGACACGGTCCGTACATAGCAGGATCTTTTTTCGATTGCAGCTTCTCACAGTTGGCGAGAAGCGTCTTTGATCTAGCAGAGTACAGTGAAACCCGTTTATAACGAACAGCATGAAACGCTACGATCAGTTCGATATAGCAAGTAGTTCGATATAGCAAAACCCATTTGCAAAACCCAGCTATGACTTTTTCGACGATTAAATATTGATCTTTAAATCGCTGCAGCCACCCAGATCCAGCGGTGAAGCCCTCAACATTCAGGAGGGATGCAAAATCTCTAGCCTTGCTTTGCAACATCGGTCCTCAGACGGGCAGGTTCCGCGCACGAATGTCCCAAAAACCATTAGTACAGCGCTTTTTCCACCTTGTCGTATTCTGGCTTGCGGATGCGCCTGCTGTCCGCGTTTGGCTGTTCACGGGCCTTGTCTCAGATAGCAGACTTGTTTTTAAGAATTGTACTCAGCGTACTTCTGGGGATCTTGTAGGCGGCGGCAACGTCTGATTTCTTTTCGCCGTGCTCCACACGACTGATGATGTCGAGCTCGTTGGAAAGTGGCAGAGCCTGCCGCTGCTTCGTCATCATTTCGGGCGTGAGCTAGCTGGCCCGCACAGTGAACAGAAAGTGCAATGGGGACAAGAAAGAAAACAAACGACGACCAAATTAACGAGAAGGAAGGAGGGAGTGAGAGAGAGAGAGCTTTGCCTGTGGTTGACACTTTCAACGGCATGTGACAATGCTTTGGAATCTGAAATGCAGTAGGCTTATTGTGTCAAGCCCCAAGTGAACGCGCAAGGTGAGGAGGGTCAAACTAGAGTGCCTTCAAATTCTCTTCGGCGGGACATGAAAGCCCCCTAAGTCAAACTAAAGTGACTTTAGGTGAAACAGGGCGCGAAGGGAGAGGAGGCGAGAACTTCTCTTTCTTTCTTATCTCTTCGCTTCCGCCTTGTAACGACGCGCTAGAAAGATTTTTTTTTTTTTAGCTTATCTCCGTTTTTTATTTGTTTTTCTTCGTAAGCAATCGCTTTGCACCTAAAAGATTTTTTTTCCGTGCCCCTTCAGAATCGCTTTTCTTCGCTTATTTTTGTTTGCAGCTCGACCTTTTGGAATTTTTTTTTCTCTCCTACACTTTTTCGGGCAAGGCATTGGCTGAAAGACGATTGTTTCCGTGTTTTTGGAAGCCTTCCCAGGGGAAAAAGTTCGATATAGCCAATATGTTGTTCATTGTAAAAAGTACTTTTTACATACATTTTGATTTAAATTTTTCTTGAGTTTGATATCGACAATAATTCACTGTATGTGGGTTCGTTCTAAACGGGTTTCACTGTATACATGCAGGGAAGCCTCAACCACTTTCTGCAGGCTCGATAAACATCTGCCCATGACAGCCAGTGTTTTTTTTTTTTTTTTCATGTTATTTGTATGAGCTCATATATAACGAAGAAGTGAATATAGCGAAGGGATTTCCGACTCCCGTTTGCTTCGTTATAACCGGTCTCGACAGTAAGTCGCAGTTTGCTTGAAGGAACGTTCGCACTCGCTTGTGCCATGCCCGCACAACTTTCAACTCAAAAACACCGAAAACTTGTAATTCAGGAAACGGCGCATTCTTGTGGAATGCCGCCCACTTATCCTACATAACAGTAAGAGATTATGTTTTTGTCACACTTGACCTGTGACATTATTTGCTTTGGTTTTCTCGGAGGGCACCAGAGTGTAGAGATGCTTTGAGCAGGAGTTAAATTTGTTTTAGGAGAGGGGAGAGCACTTTAAACAGTGAATGAAGATGCAAATGCAATATTAACCATCAACCTTTGTACTAAAAGGCTTTTGTCGATAAGTCAGACTTCACTGCGCCAGGTTGAAACCCAAAAAACCACTATGTAAACTGACCAGACAAAAGGCTTGACCTCCTTTCGTACAGCTCGGTAACAACAGTTTCATTGTTTGTTGTTTGATAGCATGGACATATCGCAGCAAGTTTAGTTTGAACTGTGGTAACTAAGGGGTCGTAAACTCGCAACCAGAGGGGGGAAGGGTTGAAAAAATAGTAATGTTTAAAAGTCATTTTATTACTTCTGAAAGCAATCAAATATACTCCTGTGATTATGACCTAATCAAATGATTAAAAACATACTCCATAAAGTAATCAATATTTGATTACTTCAGTGTTGGGTAAAGTACATCTAAAAAGTACTTAAAGTAATTTACAAAGTAAATGAGCAGTTATGCACTTCAAGTAAAGTATGGTAGAACATTGTTAATATGTTTCTCAGGGGACTGCGAGAAAATAACATAATCTGGGAAAACATAAACAACTAGAAGGCAAACAAGGGCTGCGAGCTCGGCGGGACCGGCGGTTTTGAGCATAAAAACCGGGAGAATGTAAAAACCGGGAATGTAGGTATTGCCACGCGCATCTCCTAGCAAGTGCGCCTGTGGCCGAATGGTTATCGTGCTTGGCTCCCATGCAAAGAACCGAGGTTCGATGCCTGGGAGCGGACGCACCTTTCTGTTATTTCTGTAAATGCAGCGTTCTGGTAAATTCGAGAACCCTGTTAGTTAATCGAGGTCCAAAATGTTTTAAGCATCGAACCTTCTACGCCGATTGTTCTAGAAGCCCACGCGTGCACATGAGGGGCTCCCTCTGCATGGGGAGGCAGAGTTGGTGTTGCGATCGATCCTGCTGCTACGCAGACCTCGACGCCCGCGATGCAGTGCTGTTATCTTCCATTTCCTTTTTGGTTTGGCTTGAGTTTGCCACATTAAATGTTTAGTTTCTCCAGTCATTCCGCCCCACTGTTTGTCATTCGTGACAGTGTCAACCAGCTTCTACTGTAGTAAGCACACTGGGCACCGTGGACTCGTAGTAAAGTACCATAAATACAATGTACTCTCAAAGTAAAGTACAATTACCTATTTAACAACCGTTCATGATGCCATTTCAATTATAGTGTTCTGTTTTAGTTATTTTCAAACTGGCACGCTCCTTGAAACGAGCGAGGCCCTGACACGGTGTCGTCGTTAGGAAGAGTCTGGGGCAGTGACGACGCGAGCGAAGGTGCAAGTTTCCCCGGCGTTGTTGAACGGTGAAGAAAGGGTGTAATGTTGTTGTTCGGTGACGAGCGGAGAGGGGGACGCACAATCTTCCCCCTTCACTCCATACAGCCTTGTTTGCCCTGTGGCAAGTCCTTTCCGCTAAACTAAAAGGGGCATTGGGTGCAAGCACACCCGACGACGAGGCGACACGTGCCGAATGGGACAAGAAGTGTACGTACGGTTTGACGGCGTTGCCTGCCTCTTCCTGCTGGGCGTGCTCTGGGTAGCGCTTGGCGTAGAACTCGTCCACGGTCATGCTGGGGATGCTGGGGTAGCCCACCCCGTACACCTGCTTCTGCAGCTCGTTCTTGGTGATGATGATGGGTCGCAGGGGCTGCACAAATGTGCACCACACGTATGTGTACTGTCACCATCCTATCTACCCGCCAATCGAAAGTCAGACCGGTTGCAGTGGGAAGTTAATGAAAGAAACCCTGAAAGATACCCCACCCCCAAAGATAATCCGCCTGCCATACAACGTTTTTTCGTGACATTTTTTTTAAACATTACTTTTACCTCACGGAACTGAGTCCTACAACTAGGGTTCCGCGTTTTCGAAAAAATCTGTACAAATCTGAAAGTCAAGCGCTAGTAACTTTTCTGTCAAATTGGATTTATCCAAAAAAAAAACTCTGAATTTCAAGGTCACAACAAATTCTAAAAAACAAAAAAAATTTTTTTTAAAAAGCTTTATAAGGGCGCACGCAGGATCAGTGGTTCTGAGGAGGTGCCACTTCAGTTTCCTTTGAAATCTCACACTACTGACAAAAAGGATTTCCCTCTTAGCTTATAAACATTCCTTCAAAACAAGAATACCATTTTTTTTTTTTTTTTTGTTTTGAAAGTGTAATACAAACTTACTTACGACTTTTCAGATAATTGGGAATCTAACAAAAATAAAGTCTGATAAACCCCAAATTTTTAACGAACCATCAACTCTGAAAGACACCTTCCGAATTTCTTGAGAAATAAACTTCGAAAACAGAGAATCCTAACTACAACACATGCCGCGTTAAAAATAAAGGGCCCTATTGGGGTTGGCCAGTGCAACGCTGGCACGTCACCCACCCACCTGCGACTTCTGTGGCACTGGGGCCCGCCGGGACTGGGCTCCCTCCGCCTTCATCTGGGCCATGTACTGCAAAATAGGCTTCTCCTCTGAGCCCCGAAAAGGAATTGCATGAGACCCATTAGCCCCGATGGGGGAACACTTGCGGGCAGTGGTGCTACAAGACAGTGTCAGTGGGACCTTAAAACAATTTCTAAAGGGACTTGGACAATTTCTAAAAGGGCTATGAAACAATTTCTCATGGGACTCCATAATTTTTTAAGAGGGACTAAAACAACTTATAGGAATGCTGAAATATTTCTGAAAGAGGCTCATACAATAGTTAGTGGAACCCCAAAAGAGTCTCTAAAAGGACTGAAACAACTTGTAGGGACTCCAAAACAATTTTCGAAGAGACTCAAACAATTTATAATGGAACACTGAAACACTTTCTAACGAGAATCTGAAATGATTTCTAGAGGGACTGAAACAATCTCTGAAGGGGTTATGAGGCAATTTCTAAAGGAACTGGGACTACATCTGAAGGGACTCTGAAGGGATTTTCAACGAGACAAACAGTATTGAAAGGGACTCTGAAATAATTTCTAAAGGGACTGAGACTACTTCTGAGGGGACTTTGAAACAATTTCAGAAACAATGAAACAATTTCTAAAGGAACTCATAACAATATCTAGAGTAACTAAAGCAACTTTTACAGGGACTCTAAAATCATTTGTGAAAACTCAAAGAATTCTTTAAAGCACCCTGAAACAATTAGTTGAAGAAAGAATAAGATGATTTCTAAAAAGACTCTGGTACACATATAACACCCCATTGTTTCAAAGCAGCTTACGGTCCCTCTGCAAACAAAATCCGTCTGTCATCAGAACCTGAGGCCGTCTATAGTATCAACATATCACTAAGTCAAGAAGTTAATGGCTCAATACGGCTGCTTCAGATGTATCGCCTAAATGGTTTTCAGCCTCATTCACAACCCCAGTTGGGTTCTTAAGGCCTAAGAATAAGAAATTAGACCGTATGTTTTCGTGGGCATGTTACATTTGTTTTTGTAACATATCAATGAAGTATTACTCTAGAAATATTGTAAAATACGGAATGAACGGCCACCCAACTGAAAAGATAAATTGGAGAAAACATTGGGCGGGCGATTCTCATGAATCAGAAAGCAGAGTTTTACACATAAGAAATGTGCCAGCAATTGCTAAGAATGGTCAAAGTAAACCAAAGAATATATGAGCACATGCATTGAGCAGCAGCCTGCACCACCTAGCAAACAGTGGCAGCAGCAGTGAAAGACATGTAGACCCCATGTCTCCGCCACTGCCGGCTAAATGGCATAACCTGCATCATCGCCTTTGTTTTAAATTTTTCCATAGCGAGAGCGACCGTAGAGAAGAGGGCTGGCGACGAAGACAGAGCCAGTAAATAAAAACAACTTTGAAAACTCGCTTGTTGCAGTTCTTTGTTTCACGCACGCTTTATGAGTTTTTCGCTGTGCTGCATAGCGGTAAAATTAAGCTCACTGAATTACATTGGAGGGACAGCCAGCATTTCGTTTGACCTAGTGTGTTTCAGACTTTAGCCTATTCTATTTTAACCATAGGCATGGAAGCAGGAAGGAGTCCCACGTCGCATTAATTTGGTGAGGTGGGCAATATTTTTGCAGTTCAATTCAAGAATTCAGGGTATGCCTTCCCTTCCGCTTAATGCACTCCAATGAATCTTAAAAGTCTCTCATGGCAGAGAAGGCAGAAGGGATGATAGAATCACTATTGGGCGTTTCCATGTCAGTACACGCATGTATTTTATATTTATGTAAAAAATACATGTGAAAGCCACATTCTTGGGACTCTGAAATGATTCAGCTGTATGTGAACGCCATCACTAACTTTCTTACGAGATATAAAATTTCGAAGCTCCAGGCGCGGAGATTGTCAAGGTTTCACTTTGGTGCTTTGCAAAGTCGTCAATTTGCGCACTGAAGCATTCACATGATAATAATCTTTTTCTATTTATTTTATTAAAGGTTTACAACATGTACATAAAATATTAAACATTACAATAAAATATTTCTACGCACGAAAGAAGCTATGAAACATGTCAAGTAAACCTGTTTTACAGGCACATTCACAAATTATTTACCAACAAACTACTTCATATAAAATGTTGCAAAATATATCAAGTGACCATTTTTAGGTACACTTTACACAATATATAAAAATGTATGCTTAGCCGTTATTGTAGATCTTGTTATAAATGCAGAAATGCAACTTATTTTTCTATTGTGATTGCAAAACATTGAGTAACATATGACTTCCTTAAAGGGAAACTGAAGCTGTTCAGTAGCCTCTCGGATCAATAATATTGAGATTATATTTAAATTTGGTGCACGGAGGATCCAGATATTAATTCTCAAATTACCACTCAGCCTGTCCTTCCAGGGGCGTGACGAGGTATTAGGAGTTTTCGGCATCTCCACTCTCGCGCATCTTCAGCGCGTATCAAAGCTATACACGCACACTCTCGCTCTTTTGAAAAAGGTCACAGAAAGATGTCATGACTGGTGCCAGTGCAGGGGAATATACCTGAAAAGCTTGCAATCGCACACGCTGCCCACACGAGCGACACACGCTTGGCGGTCCAAAGATCTCAGTATGATGTCACGACTGGTCGGAGGTTTTTCGTGTTTCCTCACAATTACAGTTACATCTTCGGGAAAACGAAAATGATATTCAGATTCACAGGATAAAAATATGCCAGAATTCACCTCAAACTTGTTTTCTTCAAAAAGTGTTTCAGCTTCCCTTTAAGAGGAAAAAGACAACAAACCTTCACTCAAATCACGGTAGCCTATCTTCGTTATAGGGGCTTGACCATATGACGTCGGCTCCAAAGGAACATATTCTAGAACCGACAAAGACTGTACAGCGACACTTCTCTGTCGCTGTTTCTAGCTTAGATTTCTATTTGCGTTTCCCTGTGTTGCCTCCTAAGACCCCAAAGACCCATTAAAAGACATCTAAATTGAGTATTTATTCAAAGCACCTTAAGTGCATGCCTTAATCTTTATAATGGAAAGAGAGGGGGTGGGATTTAATAGTTTTTGTAGATGCCAACCATGTTTTTAATTGAAATGGTACCTTAAAGATTATTATTTATTATTGTTTCTACAAGGGGAAGAGTCGGGAAGCTCGTAGAAAATATTTTACTCAAGATTTGCCGTCACTTTTCTTGAATAACCCAAGGAAATTTTGGAAGCTGGTTAATCCAAAAGCCAGTGCTGCACTTCACTTAACTGATAACGGGAACATTGTATCTGTGGAAGGGTGAGCTTTGCTGTTGAATACGACTTTTGGTGCCGTGTTTACTGATGAACCACTGGGGGAAACCTCTCCTTTTCCTTCGTATTCAAACGATAACATGCGTAACGTAAACATTACACCGGACAGCCCTCTTAACCTTATTAACAGCTCTAAACTTTCTACATCCGCTGGTGAAGACGGCATTCGCTCAAAATTATTGATGTGTACTAAGGACAATAGCTGTGTCATACTATCCAAAATATTTTCCCAGTCATTACTAGAGGGTAGGCTGCCCAATGATTGGAAAATCGGACGGGCCGTTCCCGTCTTCCAAGGGTGGTGATAGATCATCTGCTAATGACTACAGGCCAATATCTATAATCAATGTGTCATGTAAATTACTTGAACACAATCTATACCAGGGGTGGCCAAGCTGTGGCTCGCAAGCCGCATGCGGCTCTTCGTGTGTTAAAGTGCACCTCGCGGTTTGCTCCCCCACTATCCCCCCCCACCCCGCCTTCCTCCCAATAAGATGCCGACTCTTCAGACACTACTTCCCTCGCCTTGTTTTCACTGTAAAAAAACCTTCTTCGCGTGAGGGCTCTGAGTTTCATGGTAATGTGCTGAGCATACTGGTCTCGCTGCTGATAACAGCAGTGGTGCCCGCCGACAGTCCCTCGTTAACAAAAGGCCCAAGGAAGGTGGGGGGAAGGGGGAGGGATGCAAGGAAACCGAAATATAAAGCTAAGCTAAGGACAGCATTACTGTCTACACTCTACCACAGAACAGCACCGCTGTGCAGCCCTTGTCGGCTCTAAAAAGTCATTCTTCGGAGCCAACGTCATTGGGGCAATTCATTTTATGATGATAATGAGCTAGCTCGATTTGAGAGAATGTTTCTGGTCGTTTTTTTCTTCAAGAGGTCATACTTTACTCAATGTTTTGCCATCACAAGTTACTTTAAGTAGTAACTGCAAACGGTTATGAAGAGTTTTGAGAAAAATTAAAAAATGGAGTCTTTTTAAACACTGACATGCCATTTTGCCACATATACAAAAATCCATTGTGTTTCTGCATTAATAGCAAAACTAAAATAATATCTAAGCATATCTTTTTATGTATTCCTAAAATGCTTTTAAAGATGCTCATTTTGATACACTTTGTGCCGTATTATACGAAGCAGTTGTTGGTAAATAATTTGTGGATGCATCTCTAAAACGTGTTTACTTTACATGTAGCGTTCCTTTTTTTTGAGTAGAAATCATATATTGTAACATTTACTAATATCCTGTGTACATGACGTAAACCTTTCATAAAATTAATTTAGAACATTATTACTATATAACTGCATGCGTCGGTGTGAAATTGACGGCTGTGCAAAGTACCTTACGGCTGTGCAAAGTACCTTAGTGAAACATTGGCAATCTCAACACCTCGAAGTTGTCAATTTTAAATCTCCAGAAGAAAATTAGCTACAGCATTCACTAATAGCTGAATGTTCCTCCCAAGAACATGGCTCTCAGATATATTTTGTACATAAATATAAGAAGTATAACCCAAACTGTAATTGTATGATCTCACGTGGAAACACCCTATCCTAAGTCCTTTCCTAGCTTACCTTCAATGCTGCGTAGCTCCTCAATGGCATTGTTGACCCAGTACCTGAGAAGCACAAGGTAGTACTCCCGCTGGAAGACAAAGGATATTCGGAAGCTCAGTGTAAGACGCTAAGACCAGATAAATGACAACAAAGCACAGGAATGTGTTATCCATAACAAATCAGTTGAAAAACATGGCTCCGGAATAATGCTGTGCCTATGTTTATACAGCCGAAAGTTAGCCTGCCTCAGTGGGCGTCTGGCGTATCAGCTGTAGATGAGCAATTTAGCCAGCGAGGCACAACCACGAGTCGGGATCTTTAAGGTGCATAACGCAGTAGTGACAAACGACCGCATGCCAGTACGATGCTCATCCAGATTGATATGGGCAGCAGTGGGAGTTGAACCCAGGATCCAAAAGTACTGCAGCGCGAGCTTTCGCTCCACGTGCTCCGAGCTGGTGTGCGCTAGCCAACTCAGCCACCAATCCCCCTGACTCCAGAAGCTTTAACCCTTTAACCACCAAGTTATTTTCAAAACAAATCTACGAACTTTCCCAGATTTTTTTTTTTTTTTGCACATATTTTTTTTCTTATGTCGTTCTGATTTTGGAAATACATTACTTGATTGGTTTCTAAATGGTATTAACACAAAACTTTTAAAAGAAAAAGTTAATTTTTATGGAAGCTTTCCCCCAGTGCATGTAAGAGTAATAGAATAACACGTGCTGAAATGCGCAGTATTTATTTGAACATACGCACCATAACAAAAGATCAAGTGCCTAGACGTTTCTTCGTACTAGAGCTAACAAAGTTCCGTAAGTAATGATTCCTTGCAAAATTATTAGCGCAAGGAACACCATCATCTCTTCGCGGTCCACCGGTCTCCATGAAGAACCCCGCGCTGCAAAATGCGGGACCGCGTAGCGGTTTGTCTCTGTCAGAATGAGGTCGACAAGGTCCCAATAAAAAAAAAACCTCGAACCAGCCGAGAATGTCTGTTTCGTCAGTGGGTTGCCGCAGAATACCAGGCACTGCACAAAATGGAAACCTCGGAGGCGCGGGTGGTGGGTTTTCAGTGTTAACGCGTTGCCACACTCAAACACTACCCAGCACGTCGTCTTCTTCGTCACTGTGGTCGTCGTATAAGTCTGTTTCGTATTCAAAATCCATGTCCAACTCACTTTCAGAGACAAATTCAATATCTTCATCGTCGCTACTGTTTGAACTGTCGCAAGAGACAGCCCATTTCCGAGGGCCGTTGCCGGCATCACTCAAGCGTGCTGCATATTTCTGATCATTGTTGCAAGGCTAGATACGTGCCAAAGGCCAAAACACGCTATATCCGTGCGACCTCTCCTGCCCTCCAGTGCTGAAAAATGAAACTAAAGCCGATGGATGAACCTGTCTAATGTTTGGCAGTGAAAGCAAACCATCATTTTGGCTAGACGAGTGTGACTCGTCTTTGGCGATATTGGTACAACCTTCCAAGACGAGTACAGCTCGGGCCGGGTGGTTAAAGGGTTAAAGGGATGCTGAACCGAAATTCGGATTTCACAAAATAAGTTTGCAGAAGTGTTCAACAGGGCGCCACAAACCACGAAACATCACTCATATAGCCATATCTCAAGCGGATGGCCGTATCTCTGGAAAAGAAAAGAGCAAATGAGGGAGAATGTTGACATCATGTAGTTGCAGAAGAGCTGAGAAAAAGAAGAAATGACCTTGCTCAGTTTCCTTTCCGCGCCGTCGCGGAGTCAAAGCGAAAGGAGGAGGAAATGATAATCGCGAGGTCACGTGTCTTTTCGGCCTTGTGTGAGCGCTCTCTTCTTTTACAAAAATACGATCCGTTAGAGATACCGCTTTACGAGCGCCGTTTTGGGATTTGTAGCGTCCCGCCTATCGATTCTGCGTTGTTTTCTGAAATGCACTTTTCGGTTCAGCACCCCTTTAAGTGTCCTCCCCTTCAAGATGACACCAGCTCTGAAACAAACAACTATCATCATCCTCAAATTATTTCCGCTATGGTTTTGATGATGGCCAACAGCTTTCAAACTACTTTAGATGCTTGTTTGTGGAACTGAATTATTTATTTAATTATTAATTACATACCCTTAAGTCCCAAAGGAATTACATGAGGGTGTAGTACAAGAACAAAAGAACATACTGCCCATTCTACATTAAGCGCCCACACCCAAATTTGTAAGATCTGAGGAAATATGCGCAGTACATTTATACGTAAGAATGATGACCGGACAAGCACCCATCCCCTATTTTTTCACGATTATCTCTAAATTTTGAGTGGGCGCTTGCCCGGTATTTTACGGTAGCACACATAATAATATGAACTTTGTAAAACAAAATAACTTAATCGCAACAAAACTTGTTACCGAAAAATAGCTGTTATATTAATAACATGCTTTTGCTGTGTATAGGTGTCAACATAAGAAGAGCATGTTCCACACATCACAGGAGTCACGACATGCAAAAAATAAATTATACGAGATAACTATATACTGATAGGACCCATTGCATGTTCCTATAATCCTGCTAAATGTGTTTTGAAAACAAAGCAATAGAAAACAAAGTCGTGGATAAATCAATTTGTATGCGAGACCCTTGGATCTGCCCCATTCGAAAAGGCCGCCGTGGTTGTTGGGTTGGTGATGTCAGCTGCCCAAAGCGTGGTGATTGGTTCGGCCAAACACAAAACGAGATGATTTATGTTTTTTAATCAGTTCATGTGAAGCGAGCATTAATCTTGATTCCAGAAACACGACTTTCTCCGATATAGATAACTGTGAAATTGTAGACGAAAATCAGGACTTCAATATTTATCGCTGCGACAGAAGACACCGGCATGGCGGCGGTGTTCTTATCAGTATTATAAAAGATATTCCCAGCCAACTTATATCAGTACCAAGTGTGCTGGAAATCAGTTTGGATGTTTTTAAAGGGACCATGAAGGCAATTTAATCTTTTTTTAAAAAGAAGGTGTTTTCAGAAGCATTGGGGTCCTGGCATGCCACACAATTTTTTCTAGAACGCTGTGACTCTTATTTCTGTACCTGCAAATAAATTTGCGAAACCGAAACAAACCATTCAGATTTCTTCCCTTTTTCGTCTCTGGAAAGAGAAGTGACGTCAGGGAGCACTGTCGGCATCGGTAGGATTTAGTGCACACTCAGTGTGGTTCCCGTGGTTCGCTCTAGTGCACGGCGGTCTGTGAAGAAAACCTGGAAGAAATGAACGACAACGCCGCGCTCGCAAACAAGTTTGAGCTCCCGTTCAGCAACCTCACGCCGACTGAACGGGAGATGCTGCTAAGGACGCAGAACTCTGGATTGGCGCTTTACGAGGGCGATCGGCAGTTTATGCAAACTAATGTCGCCCGATCGACCGCACGTCTTTAGCCGACATTTCGCGCAACCTACTACTGCACATAAATGCGGCATGATTGGTGAGACACCAGTTCGGAAAGCGAACACGAGACGACGCACGAAACCAAAACCAAGAGTCCGCCGCCCCCCCCCTTGTACCTCTTTTTCTTTCTTTGTCCATGGTTGCTCGATGCTTGTTACGCGCCCGAGGTAGCACTGCGGGATGCATTTACTTAGTGACAAACGGAGGGATCGCTTCAGATTATGCTTTGATACACGGTATGAAACCTATTAATTCCTAACTACAACTTCAAAAGATTATCCAACGTTCAAATAAACTTTTTTCATCACATCTCACCACCGAAATCGAAACCAAGAGCGCGTCTATCGTTTGAACCAATCGCCAGACGAGGAGCCCGTTGTCGTCACGCTTCGTCGGCGCACTTTAGTTCCCCTTTCTGCCACCGCCTCGGTGGGGTCTCAGGCATCGTTCCCGGCGCTATTATTACCGCGCCTGTTTGCTCGATAGGTGCGGCACCCAAACTTCTGTTCGGGCTAGAAGTTGGTCAACAGTATCTGAGACGTGCCCGACATCTATTTCAATCGTCGAATAAAACTTCGAAACTGCCTTCATGGTCCCTTTAAAGTTTTCCTTTAAGACAATACTCATAGGGGTTTATTATTGCCCTCCTGACGTATTATTGATTTTTACTGATTTACCTAGAGGATGATCCAGCTGCCTTGTCATGTTCCTATATTGATTGTCTTACGTTCGTTTCCCTTCAGAGATTTTAACTTCCCCAGTATAGATTGAAGCGGTGCTGCTCCCAATGCTGTCACAGGGACAAGTGCTCGTGCATTCCTAGATTTCTGTTTGACGTTTAATCTCACTCAGCTAGTTTTTTTTTGCCCCTAGTCATGGGCAACTCTTCTTAACACTGTAGATTTAATTATTTCTGATAACTCTACATTGGCTCATTCAATTTCCTGCCCAGATGGGTTAAGCGACTACGGAGCATTGCATTGTTTTCTTGATGTTCTAACCCCCAAGTGTATGTAGTATGTGGAAAAGGAATATGTTTGTACAATAAGCGTTACTCATTTAATTAATTTTTGTCTATTGGATTACTTTTCCTTGTATATCGTGGATTTTGAATCTAGAAGTGTTAAGGACAGTTGGCGTTTATTTCGCGAAAAGCTGCATGGTCTTACTATGCTCTACGTTCCTTGCGCCATACTTAAATCTCGTGCCTCGAGCCCATGGTTTACTCATTCACTTCGCTCCCTTTCCAACCGAAAGAAATGAGTTTTCCATACACTCAAATCTGTGAACATGCCAGAAACTTGGTTGCAATACAATGTTTGTGCCCAATAAGTACAAAACTTAGCTAAGTGAGCGTAAACTTAATTTCTTTTATAGTACATTGCTTCGTACGTTACAGACCAACCCCCGTCGATTCTGCTTTGTAATGAATCCTAAGCCACATTCTTTCATTAAGCTAGTTGATGCTTTTGATATTCCCATCCAGGATAATGAATGTGCATCTCTTTTTAATGATTGTTTTTCAAGTAATTTTACTGATCCCACATGTCCATCATGCCTCTCTCGTCTTACGGGATTACTTCCCAATTGATCCCATTATAATCGATTACAATAGAATTGTTAAAGTTATTGATTCTTTCAAAATACCTTTGTCCTGTGGTATAGACA